CCACAGAACCAGCAAGCATTTGCTGGGCTGGATTTTGTAACGACAGCACTTACGCAATGACAAGTTCTTGCGACCTTCCTCTTTCCTTTCTGCCCGCCCCACCACCAGGCCAGACAAGCCTCACCCCGCTGTTGTCATCAGGCAAAGCTCCCGGCCTACATCTGCTGATGGCGACTTCTCCTTTCCCTCCGACGGCTCCACATAAAACCAGCACAGTGCATGTTTCAGATGGTGCAAATGGGCAGCTCTTTCTTCTGGAAAAATCCTGCTTGTTATTCAAGGCCCTGCTCAAGTGTGACCTCCTGTGTGAAGTCAGCTCCACCCTTCATTTATATATTAGTGATAGCATGTTCCATAGTGGGGTGTGTGTGTGTTCCCCCTTACATGCTGGTCCTAAGCCTTACTTATCTTTTTTTAAATTAAAAAAATCAATTACAGTTGACATTCAATATTATATTAGTTTCAGGTATGCAGCACAGTGGTTAGACGTTTATATAGAGTATGAGGTGACCCCGTAATAATAAGCCTGACTTATTTTTTATGTCTTCACCTCCCCTTCTCCACTCCCTCCCCTAAATCCATGTTTACTGAACTGAAGTGAGCAGATTCAGGTTGATAGGAAAGTTCCAGAAAACAATTGACAAGCCTCACTTTTCTATCAAACTTGGACAAGGGTTAGATTTTGATTCTCTTTTTTTGGAAAGGAAAATAAATGATTATACAACAAGGCCCGCTCAGCCTGTGTGACCCAAGAAAGCCTCTGTGTGCAGTGGTTCTCCACCGTGGCTGCACATTAGAATCACCTGGGGATCTTTTTAAAATCCTGATTTCTGGGCCTTATCCTCTGGAAATTCTGTTTCTTTGTTACTAATATTGCAAAATGATTACCACCTTAACTAACATCTCCATCACATCACATTATTACCATTTCTTTTTTTGTGGTGAGAACATTTAAGGTGATATTTGGTGATTGTAGTTAATAATATTGTATTACATACATGATACATGAAAGCAGATGATATTTGTGGTTAAAGTTGTTTTACAATCTTGTACATTATAATTATGGAACAATGAAGTCCATTGTTATCTAAACGATCGAATTCCCCTAGACTTTATCTCTTATAATCTCTTTTATAAGTTACTATTTAACTTAGGAATTAATTTTTTTAAAGTGTCTATGAAAAAAGTTATGTGTGTACAAGTATATATGTAAAGAATTTCTAAAGAATTTTTTAAAACACCCTTTTACAAAAAGATCTGAAAGTAATGTTAATAATACAGCTATAAATACATTCCACGAAAGATCACAAAATAAAAAGTCATGAAATTCATGCTTTTAGGTTAGATACGGTTTTCTAGAATCATATATAAGATTGCCACAAGGTGGCGCTAACATCTAATGAACATTCCAGTCTGGTCTTCTCTGGAAGGAGTTGGGGGTGGTTTTACAGACCTGTAGGAGACACTGGACAAAATGAAGACCAAATAAATGAAGCTGAAGATTGGAGATAGATTAACATCTTTCTTTTGTCTCAAGGATAATTTCCCTCTCTCACCGGTGTGGGAATCTGTCATACAATGAATCTATGTTAATAAAGTTAAATATTAAAATGATTTGTTCTCATAGACAACCAGTTTTACCCTTGCTTTTCAGTGGGAGTGTACTGGGAAGGGAGGAGACTAGCTGTCACCTAGTGAGTTTATCCTGTGAATGGAGCAGTCTTCGAAGTAGCCAGTCTCCACAGAGCTTGCATTGGACCAAAGTATCCTGGACCCAAAAAATGAAAACCATGAAAAGAAGTTGCTGCAGAACATGGATTCTTCTAATTGTTTACTTTGGCACATTTACCAACTGGATATTTTTAGAATTATTTTGATATTGAGATTCAAGCTTGAAACACTTCATATAATATATGTGAGAATCAGAAAATGAGTGAATTAAATCCTTCTTCCTGATTATTTAAAAAAATTTTTAATTGATTTCAGAGAGGAAGGGAGCAGGAGAGAGAGACAGAAACATCAATCAATGATGAGAAAGAATCATTGATTGGCCATCTTCTGCACACCCGCCACTGGGGATCAAGCCCAAAACTCCGGCATGTGCCCTAACCAGAACTCGAACCGTGACCTCCTGGTTCATAGGTTGATGCTCAATCACTGAGCCACACCGGCCGGGCTGATTCTTTGTATTTCAGTTAAAAAACAAAAACAAACATGTACTAGAAACTTTTGTTTGGTTTCTTAAAATATTTGAAGTTTAAGAACATGGCCAATATTTCCAGCATATGTTAAGACCAAAGAAAGTAGTATTAATAGTACAGCTATAAAAGGTTTTGACTAAAAAAAGAAACATGCAGATAAGAGTTTTCCACTAGGCCAACTGAAAAAGAAAAGACGGAAAAGAAAATCATGTCTCGACTGGAGCCCTAATGAAACTGAGGGTCTTTATGATTTTTTATTAAATTTTTCTTAAACCCTAGCTCTAGAAAGTATATCTCTTTCTATACTCTTCAGAGACCTAGCCTTGCCCCTGGATAGTCAGCAGTCCCTGAGGCAGGAGAAGACAGTAGCTGGACTTCATGGTCATAAGTCTGGACCTCTAGTTGCTAAAGACAACATCTTAAGTTATGTCTCAGCTCCAGAGCCCTTAGGTGGAAAGATTCCCTGGCTGTTTTCCCATGAAACCAGACAGAGAGATGCTGAATACATGATTTATTACTCTTACCTCATCTCTAACCAATCAGCTCCCAGCACGACCTTGAACCCCCTAACCCACAGGGTCTTATGATTTTGCCCTATATAATCTGTAACCTACATGCATTAGGGACCGGATTTCTTTCCCGCATTAGCTTCCCATTCTCCTGGGTGGTGCCATTCCTAATAAAATAGCCAGTCTTTCTTCACTGTAATTCTCAGTGTTTGACTCTGCTAACGCCAGGTGAACGAACGATTTCTGTTCCATGACACTAAACCAATGATCAAAATAGCTTATTATCTCCCAGTGGATCCCACTTCGGAAAAATTATTTATTTGCTGACGGTTCAGGTCCTTGGATCTGAAGAACAAAACAAGAAAGCTGGGCACTGTGTGGAGCTATTCCACTGGGAAGGAAGCACTTGGTTCTTTGGATGGGCTGTTCTCTAGGGTTCGCAGCATCCTGTCTTCATAGGCCTGGTTTTCTTCTATCTGTAGTATCCAGATAGAGACCTCGACCCCAGTTTATGAATCAGAGGTGAAAACAGCAGGGCTCAGTTAGGTGATTGGGTCAGATAGTAGTTAATGCAGAGTCTGGAGTTCGAGGTGGGAGACCCCCAGAAAGTTCCAATGGGTTCCAGCACACTTAGGTGAATTCTCCAGCCACTTACCGACTTGTGTATGCTGTCAGGCATTGTGCTAGGTCTCCAAGATGCTGAGATAGGACAGAATCCTGGCTCTCCAACAGCTGCCAGTCTTAGAGAGGGAGGCAGAAAGATGAAGCAATAATGTGATGTCCCTCCTGTGCTGAAAAACCAACAGGCATCCCTCTACAACGGATATAGCCCCACCTGCTCAGTGGGCGCTCTAGCCCCCACCATAGGCCCAACCTGAGTCCCAGCTTCCTCCAAGTGCAGCCACACTAAGCTGGTCCCAATCGCTGAAGTTTGTCCTCCACTTTCACACCTCCCTGCTTTTGTTCCTGCGGTTGCTCCTTCCTGGTAGGCTCACCCTGCTTCCCCTCCCCCTTCCTCCGGCTTCTATCCTTGGAAATCCCTTGACTCAGTCCTCTCCTGCAGGATTCCTGGGATGGATGAATTAAGTCTTAGTGTGCGACCTCGCACCCCTCCAGACACTAATTTGCTGGGTCCCCACCTTCAAGTTTCTTCCCCCGGCCTCTTCTTGCCCAGTGGGGTGTGGGTGGTTAAATTTTATTGTACTATCTACTTCTGACACCAGAATCCGAATTAATCATGCAAACCAGGGCCCAGGCTGTCTTTTTTTTTTTTTTTTTTCCTGTTTCGTAACTTTTTCCAAGTGGACATGAAGTTCTGTAACCAGCTTCACCCTTCCCTTTTCACTGTTCCTCCTTCCCCTAATTTCCATGGAGAGACCCAGGCTGGGAGCCGGTAAGGTGGTAGGTGGTAGGACTTGGAGGAGCCGCGAGGCTGTGAGCTGGTTCACACAGCTCACAGTAGTGTCTCCAACCACTGGGTCCAAACCTAGGGCTGCCCCGGGAAGGCACTGGGGAAACGGGGGTGGGGTGGCCGACTAGACCAGAGAGGGGCCGCTTTAAAAAAAAAACAAAAACACCTTGCTTGGAAACAAACGTGTGTGTGTGTGTGTGTGTGTGTGTGTGTGTGTGTGTGTTTATATAAAAACAAGCCCTCGTTAAAGGTGCCGCCCTCTTCCCCAACAGGTCCGACCACCCGCTGGGAGTTTGCAAAGAAAGAGGGGCATTTTGAGTGGGATGGAGGCGTCAACGCCCCGCAAAATGCCGCCTCACGGCACCGCTCGCCCAGAGCCCGTGGACTCCGGGCTCGGCCAATCAGAGCCGAGCTCCGCAGCGATGAGCTCAGTCGGCTCGCTTCCCATTGGGCGGCTATATTAAGAAAGTGGCCGAACTCTTTAAATAGCGGGCGCTAGGGCCGCAGCCAGCGTCTGCCACCGCAGTCTGGCCGGAGTCGAGTTCTCTCCCGCATTCGCGTTCTCG